CTGAGAAGATGCATTTTCTGATCCTTATTTAAGACATGTGTGTATGTTTTAAACACACACACACACACACACACACACACACACACACACACACACACGCTACTGCTACTACTGCTACATACAAAACTTACTTAACTTCCACTCCATTCCTGATGGAAAAGAAAACCATCTCCTATATCCACCATCTCTTTAAGGATTCTAGAAACTCCTGTTTATGCCAGTCTTTGGCTCTCGTTCTTCATGCACACAGATTTTTCCTCATTTCTGTTTTACCTTCTCTCTGTCTATGTTAGCTTTGCTGTAGAATGTGATCCAAGTTCCAGCAAAGGCCTCCCCTCCCAACCATTGGGTCTCTGACTCAAGGCAAGGTAGTCACAGACCCAGGGGCTGGGTGAATGTAAAGCTCTGCACAGCAAGACTCTTTTCGATATGTCGCAAAAGCTAAGGAGAATAAGAAAAAGAAAACGGAAAGTCTCTTCTACCTACAGCTGAATCTCAGTGTTCTCTGACCCCTGTGATCACAGTTATGACATATACACATAGAAATTAAATTTTAAAAAGAGATTTGCTTTGTTTTTCTTTATATATGTATATATATGTGTGTGTGTGTATATGCCTGTGTGTAAGTATATGCATGTGAGCGTGTTTTGCTGGGCTCGCAGAGGGTTTCAGGACTCCTGGAGCTGGAATTGTGAGAACCAAACGAGGTCCTTTGCATGAGCAGTCCAGGCTCATAACTGCGGAGCCTGTGTCAGCATTAAACACTAGAGGAAACTTCCATACTGAGAATCGCTTTCCTTAAGAAAAACAACTCTTTAGTGTCCCGCACCTCTCGTGATCGCCCCTGCCTTGATGGCCATTTTCAGCCATTCTGTCTTGCCGAATCGTCTCGTTCTTCTCTGAGTCTTCCCCAGCTCCTTGTGCACCCTTTGCAGTTTGGATTTCTGTGGCTCCCTCCTCCCCTTGGATGATGCCAGAATCCTCCCTTTTCTTTGGGCGAATCCTGCCAGATGTTTTGCTAAACAACGAACAATCCCTTCTTTCTCTTAAGTTCATCTGCTTCTAATCCAAATGAACAATCCATTCTGTTCTTCCTCCTGCTCCTACCCACTTCCCATCTCTTCCACCCTAGCCCAGGCCACACTGAATGCCTACAGCTCTCTCTGGTTTCTGTGTTCTCGGACTTCCAGTGTAGCTAGAAACCGCTTTTTAAAGAATTGCATCTGAACTGATCACGTACGGATTTTTTTTTTGTTTTGTTTTATGAGTCTTCCCCAATCAAAACAGCACAGATGCTTATGTAGCGTTCCTACTGTATTGGGCATTATGAGTGACCTAGAGGTGGCTTAGTGTATGTAGGGAGATGCCTGTAGGTTATAATCAAGTGTTAGGACATTGGTGTAAGGGGCTTGGGCATCTGTCGATTTGGGTATCCGTGGGAGGTCCTGGAGCCAATTCCCCCATAGAAACAATAAAACATCGTCTCGGTATTCAAAAAGCTTACACACTAGTAAAGACGTTTCAAAACAACAACCAGGTGTGGTGTGCTCAAGAGATCCCAACAGTGTGCTAGGTGCAAAATGAGGAGTATGCATCTGGTGGGGGAATTAAAGAGGAAGTGAACTCAGCACGTGAGTAATAGTAGCAATACCACGAGCAGCTGATGGAATGGCACTTATTTCGTACCTTTCATATGCAAAGGATTTTGTGGAGAGCCTCTCAGATGGCATGTCAGCAGTTATTATCTTTCCCTCTGGTGGGTAGTGTTCTGACTGACAAATGAGAGAGCTGTACAGGAAAAGCTAGATGACCGGCCTGTTAGAGCAGGAATGCACTGCAGGATGGAATCCAATCACATCCAGTCACATCTTAACCAACAGTTAGGTGAGTGTCCTTCCTTCCTGAGCCCCAGGTGATTCCAGCCCTCTAATGCCAGCCTGCTCCATGTCAGAAACCCTATGTGACCCGTTGCTGCCACACAGAGCCCCTCAAAACAGTCCCTCAGCACCCTGTCCTCTGAGAGCCCACATTATGCTTTGTTTCTACTTGGTGAAGTTCTATGGCATTCCAGCATTTGGTTCTTATACACCTACAGCAATGATCATTTCTTAGGATTCAACACATTACAAAGGCCCAGAAGAGCTGAGTGATCCAGGACTCTCTGTGAGAACTCAGACCTTTAGACAGTCTCACATCTCCCTGCCAGAGGACTTGGACAAAGAGAAAAAAGAGCCAGAGTACCTTGGCAATTATTTTTCTTCAAATGAGCCAGACCCAGTGATTGGTGTGAAGGACTGTTCCGCCCCCTCTTGTTTTTGGTTCCTGCCAGCCCAGGAAGAAGAGCTGTGCTATTTAGAGTGAATTCATTAAATGCAAGGTTCTGTTCCCATCTTCTTTGCTTTCCTGCCCTCCTGGCAGACAGAATCCCAGAGGCAGCATCAACAAATCTATTCCTTTTGTTTTCTATCTTCCATTTTTTTGCCCTCTTTTCTTTCTCCCCCTCCCCTCTTCTTCCTCCCCCTCCCTTCTTTTCCTCCTTCCTCCTTCCTTTTCTCCCCGCTTTCTTTCTCTACTACTGAGGTCAACATGAAAGACAGACTTTCCCGAGAGGTCAAGAGTGACCATGACAGAAAATGAAAGTTATTTGCTTGGGGAAAACTTTCCACATACGAACCAGAAATTCTCACATCCTTCTTTGGGCCAGAGTTTTAGTTCCCTAGAGTCAGTAAGATATTTCCCTGGTGGTTTAGAAGTTGCTTGGCTTTGTGGTATTGGAGGGGCAAAAAGCATACAAATGGAATAGCCATGATTGATCTCCTGATTGGGTATCCTGGGAATTTTCCCAAGATTCATAGCAGCAGAGGAAGTTGGCAAGATGGGGCTTAATCTAAATTGGCATCTTGCTGTCTGACATATATCCTTTAGCTCCTGCCAGCTTCCCGAGAAACCCGTCTTCATAAATTTGCCCTATTTCCCCTTTCTTCCATAGTAGTGATAAAGTTGAGTCCCTCTACCAAAAGATATGACTGTCATCTCTACCTTGGATCCCATCCTCTCTAATCTATTCGAGACTCATCACCAGAGATCATCATCTGTTCTCCATCCCTTTAGGCTTGCCTTCTCAATGGGCTTTGTTTAATGTTTAATCAGCTTCAAGTAGTTCCCTTCTAAAATAAAAACAAGCCAGAAATCCTTCTCCATGTCCTCTGCCTCTGTCACCAACCCTCCTTTTGCTTTCTCCACCTTCTTGGAAAAGGTGGTTATACGAACGTAATGTCCCCACTTCTCACTGCAAAAGCCAGTCTCTGTCCTCATAGACTGCTCTCAGCGGGTCAACTGCAGTCTCTTTGTTACTAAAATCTAGAGCTACTTCTCTTTTTTGTCAACTCAAGGCGATAATTGGCATTGCCTGCCACACCCTGCCTGTGATAGGAGTTGGAATAAAAATAAAGTTAATGCTTTCAGGGGGAGACGGTAGGTTAACCAGGCATAAACGTTTGGATGTGCTGCCTATTAACTGCCCAAAATACATTTGAACTGACTGAGTAAAATGTGTAGTGATATCATGTATACCTCATCATCCATTTAAATAACTTTTTTATATAGTTTTTAGCAAGTGTCTGAAACTGTGATAAGCATTTGGTTTATATTGTTTTATCTTCCTAACAACCTTATGTGCTGGCCATTTCTTGTTATTTTGGTTTTGAGAAGGCCCACACATATTAAGATGCTCAGAGCTGCCAGCAGGTAAGGGACAAAGATCACATTTGACTCCAAGCCAGGCTGTCTCTGGAGTGCATTCTATGACTTTTCTTATGGTGCTGTGGTAAAACCCAAGGCCTTGCACATGCTAGATAAGTCCTTTATCACTGAGCTTCATCCCAGCCATTTATTTTATCTGCTGTATATTTAAAAAGTTATACATATAATCTTACGTTTTAAAATGCAAAACACACACACATCAGAAAGGTACCACATAATATCTTAATGCATGTATATATTAGGTAGTATCTTAGTCAAATTAAATATGTATGTCTTCTCAGAAATAATTTCTTTGATAAAACTGCCCACATCCTTCTTTTACCTTTGAAATTTACAGTACATTTCTGCTGTTTTAGGGTGCCTGCTAGGCAATAGCACCATGAGGGTTCTTAGTCTCATCTAATGCCTTGTCAACTCATATCTCATGTTTCTTCTTGGACACTTATGCTGGGGTTTCTTAACCATCAGCCCTTGGGTGTCCTCAAGCCTAAATCTTCATTCAGGTACAGACTCCACCTCCCTCAGCTAGATTCTCAAGTGCAGAAGTGGGACCAGCACATTCAAAGACAAAGACACACCCAAGGAGTCCAGTTCACCTCTGATCACATGATATGCACCCTCAGCACCATGGGCAGATCTGCCTGATTGAAATCAGGGCAGCTGGACTTGCAAGGGAGCCATGCCAGAATCCTCCAATGCAGCTTCGTTATCCCCACTTCCTAAGGACAGATAGGTTGCATCACAGCAATTAGGATTTATTTTAGGTCATTGTTCTAGTTTTAAAATTAAGGTTTCCTCTCTTCCTGTAACTCAATCATAGTTATAGAATGGAAAGCAAGCGTCCTCGACTACTATGCCGGCAACAGCATTACCTCATCCCCTCCCTTTTATGTTTCACACTTACTGATTTGTTCACTTACTTCTTTAGTGGCTTTCCAGCACCTTCACTGATAGGACTTTGGAGGTAGAGGAAATGTGGCCAAAGGCTCCTTCACACTGACTGGCTCGTACTTGCTGATGAGAGAGCACAACTGTCAATTGAGTTTTCCTGGTGATGATTTTCTGAGATGAGTTTTATATCATTAACAACCACTTTTTCTTTGAAATCCATAACTTGCAACATAAGACACGAGGAGAGATATTCTGGATACTCTCTGGTTGCAGCAACACTCTGAAATGTTTTTCTTAGGTTCACAGAAAGAGCAATTCCTCACTGAACTTCTGTGCTTCATCCCTAGGGACAGGATGAGAACGTCAGTCAATGTTGTAGGGGATTCTTTTGGGGCCGGGATTGTCTATCACCTCTCCAAGTCTGAGCTGGATACCATTGACTCCCAACATCGAATGCATGAAGACATTGAAATGACCAAGACGCAGTCCATTTACGACGACACGAAGAACCACAGGGAAAGCAACTCTAACCAGTGTGTCTATGCCGCACACAACTCTGTCATTATAGATGAGTGCAAGGTACCTTTCCCATTCCTGGATATTGAGACCTGCATATGAATAGTGCATGCTGGACTTCTTATAAACACAAAACCCTGCATCCATTCTTAACACGCTTTTGTAAGGAATCATGTAACCCAAGCTTCTGTGAGGCCCAGATCATCCCACTCTGCATCCAGCATGGTGGGAAATCCACACATCTGACACCAAGAAAAAAAAAAAAGAAAAAGAAACAAAACAAAACAAAAAAAAACAAAAACAAACAAACAAACCACACACACAAACAACAACAACAACAACAACAACAACCAAGCAGTTGCTTGTCTCAACAGATTCCCACATCCACCTCACTACTCTAATTTGGTCAATTTTCTTCACTCTTTGGGCCAAGAATTTATGGTTGTTAGAACTTTGATGGCCTTCAAATATTCTCTTCCTTAAAGGGAGGGTCAAGAAAAATGTTGATCAAATAGCGTTTGACTTTATATAGCATGAGTATTCCTCCTTACTCTGTATTACAAATTGTTTTTATTTTTTTTTAAGTTTGATTGGCTCTCCTCATTTTATTTTTTTATTCTTGAGTGGGAGGGTAAGTTTTAGTCTGGCTTTTATTTTGCATCCCAAATGGGGATGCAGTTTCAAGAATAGCTGTTCTTCAAAACAGTTATCCAGAAAGTCTTTTAAAAATGCGAAGTATCACACTCCAGTTGTCTGCACTGTGGGTGTTCTGGGTTCTCCTCCAAGCTGTTGGGTGCCAAGTCTTCAAGCTTGATGGTCTCTAGCTGGCCTTCACTGTAACTAACTTGACGTTGTTAACGATAGGCTGTTGTGACCAGAGTGATGCAAACTTGGAGAAACCCTGTCAGATGAGAGAGGGTTTGCCTTGCTAAAATGATTGAGTGTAGCAGCTGAGGCCGGTTTGAATCAACAGAGATCCCTTCTACCTTTTTGACTCCTGCTGATAAAATCCTGTTTAATCTTTCTTACTGTGTTAAGTCTTGGGTTATTCCAAATAGCACCATGGTTTCTGCCAGAGAGCTCAGACTAACAGAAGCAATTCCATTTACCAGGCTGTATCATAGGTCCAGACAACCTGTAGAGCAAAGAGTCTTGCTTGTTCCCTCTACATCAAGTACAGATGCAGGCGAGCCGGGGCTCTGCTACAACCTGGGGAGTGAGACTACTCACTGATTAATTAATTGGCAAGACAAAATGATTTCCATTTTTAAAATTTCAGAGAGACCATTAGGGCAATAATCCATTTTCTTGCAATGTTAGTGTTTTTCACACCCAAGAGAACGTGTTAAGTTCCTTTCCACAAAAAATTGCTAGTTTGGATCAATAAGGGTCAATATTCTCATGGAATGATTATCTTATGTTCATCAAGTATTTATTGTGTGCCTTGTATGATTTAGTGGTGTGTCCTCTCCTTCCTCCATGACATTCCATGTTTTGATCATTCACCAAGTATTTACTGAGTGTTTATACCTATAAGACCCCACGTACTGGAGCTATGCAAACAAGAATATGCAGTATAATACACGAGAGAAGGTTTGAACTCAGATCATTTTCGCTCAAGGAAACATAAGATGAGACAAAGTGGGATAATCATATATATTTTTTGTTTCACTGTTATATGCAGAAAGAATCCTAGTCAATGCTGGGATCCTTTGAGGGGCTTCTCAAAGGGCTTCATAATACTGTCGAGAACATGTTTTGCAAAGTAAGGAGCAGAGGGATGGAAATGTCTTTCTATTCAGACTTACTTTTCTTTTCCTAAAGATTGCAAAAGGTTGGGAATTGGTGGTGCAAGCCTTTAATCCCAACACTTGGGAGACAGAGGTAGATGAATCTCTGAGTTCAAGGTCAGCTTGGTCTACAGATTGAGTCTAGGACAGCCAGGGCTACACTTAGAAACCCTGTCTTGAAAAAACAAAAAGCAAAACAAAACCAATCAGAAAAACATTGCAAGAGTGTTTAACATGTTTTAAAGAAAACTGCAGACTGTAACGGGAGTAAATTGATCCTGTCACTATAAAGCATGCCCATAGATAGAGGCACTTGTTCTCCATCCAGTGTTATCATGTACAAACTCCCCAAACAGTGCCTGGGCTGTTGTAGGCACTCAATACATACTTGTTGAATGCACCCCACTAGCATCTAGACTCCATGTCCTGTTTAGATAGCCTTCTTTTTATTGGACAGTTTCATAGAGCTAGTTGCTCAATCTCCCCATAAAATTGACTACCCAAGCAACCACTTGCATCTGTATTGGATAAATAGCATTTAGATGGTGTCAATATCCAACCTGAGAAGGCCCTGAGGATAATGTATCTGGGTGTATTAGTTTCATAAATATCTCAGATGCTTGCATTTTTAGTGAGGTGATTGGCTTTAGCTCTTTGAAGAGGATCAGATTGTCAGCCCTCTCGCTCTAAGTCATTGTCCTGTGTTGTCACCTAAGTAGGAGGCAGCTGGAGCTCTGTCCATAGATGCACATCCTTTCTAGAAGTATCTGGGTCACATTTATTCATTTCTTTGAACTTCTTTTCAGTCAACTCTCAGCTTCACCACTTTTTAGGTCCAGTTTTTAGAGTCCAGCAGGAAGAGTGTCAATGCTTGTTGCCAAGGCCCTACCCTTGACTGAGCAAGACAGGGGTAGCATGGGTTAGTGAGAGGGCTTCAGACGTTCTTGGGTTCAGCAGAGGGACAAGGAGTGCCAGAAAAGCCACTGTTCCAGCTACTTCTGAAATACGGGTCCCAGTATTTACAAACAAAGAGTGAACACATCCCTCATGCTGTATGGCTCTTCCAGGATGCCCCATTGTGATTGATAGCTGTGCCCTGCCATTGATCTGATTGATCACTGAGAGCCAAATAAACACATTCAAGGTCACAAGGAATAGACAAAGTTCTCCAGTCAGTCTCTGGCAGTCTTTCTTCACAGTTTATTGAGGGGGGAAACCAGTTTGCTGCAGCTCTGGTCAAAACTTTAACCATTTCGAGCACTGTTATGTCATGCTAGTCTCTGATCTCATAATGGTAGTGTGGAGTTATGCAATAGCCTCTTAATTCTCATCGAAATAACAGCATGTGAGCTGTCACTGCTAACTGCATGGGCTTCCTAAGCAGTGGTGTGGGGGTGGAGTGGGGGTGTGCTAATGGGAATTGGAAGGATATATAAGTTTTTATTTTCATTGCATGGTTCACGAAGGTCGCTTGGTTTTCTGTTCTTAGCATGCTGCATGCTCTTGATGCATGCATTTCATTTCCACTTGGGTAAAAGGAGGTCAGATTTCTTTCAAACTTTGCTGCATTTGTCATGTCTCCATATTCTAATGCTTCCATAAATCCAGTCTCTTCATTATGTGGAGTATCAGTCGTGGGTTTAAGTTTGCACATGACGTTGAGGACAGACAGACAGAAGGTAAGCTAGGATACCTGCTTAGAAGTGGATGGGAAAGCTTCCCTCCTGCATAAAGGTTCAGTTTGCTCTGGGCCAGATATATACATATCGTTTGCTAATTATAGGTTCCTCAGTGTCAACATTGAAATGATTTGGAATACATTGCTACTGATCTCCCACTTTAAACCTTTCCCCCACTTTCATATCTAAAGTCAAGATCACTTATTCAGTAGAGCCAAAATACCATCATTTCAGTAATTAAGACTGAACATGTATAAAATTCACCTGGCCTCACTGTGGCTGAACCTTTCACATGCATGAGTAGAAGTAGCTGCCTAATTCTGGATTTCTTTCTGTATGGTTGTATGGAGTAGCACATGGCACTCACTGTATTTTAAGGACTACAGTAATATGTGATGGGTCTATGGGTACTGAGATGCCCCACAACCCTACAAATATTGTTGACATTGTCCCCACAATGCTGACCATCTGTGATCCCCCCAATACCCTCCAGGCAAATATAGATAATTTAATTCTCTATTCACTGTTGAACACCAGGATGGCTTCAAAACTAGTTTGGAAGGAATGCCATTTAAAACTATGGTTTCAGCATATACTGTAAGCTTGGATCTGGTGCTTCTCCACATGACCCATAAGTGGTGTTTGTTGTAGTTCGTGGCCTGTAAGTTGGATGTTGATGGTAATTGTTTTCAGGTAACTCTGGCGGCCAATGGAAAGTCAGCTGACTGCAGTGTTGAGGAAGAGCCTTGGAAACGTGAAAAATAATGACCTGACTCTCAGCCAATTCTTGAATAAACTCCCCAGCGTATCTCATGGTAAAAAAAAAAAAAAAAAAAGATGCTCTAAACAGGCTTCCTTTACGAAAGGAAAAAAAAAAAAAAAAAAAGATGCTCTAAACAGGCTTCCTTTACGAAAGGAAAAATGCATATATTTCTATGTTTACTTAATCTGTTAGCCGAGGCTTAGAGGAGCTGTTGTATACCCGTGATGACAGGCACCGTGCTGTGTCTTTGCCAAATAATGCTTCATAACTGTCTAATTCTCTTACTTGTGTTATTGTCTGAATGGATGCTGCTGGAGAAGCCACTTTGAACAGAAGACACGTTCTTGACAGCTCCCCTTTGTCCCAGTGCAGAGCTGTGGATGCTGTTTTCCCAGGGGGACAGGACGAAAGCAGTGTGGTACACTCCAGGGACTTGAGACAACGAGCATGCTCAGTGTGGTATTCCTTAAAGTGTTCATGGATCACCTTGTTCTGCACAAAAGCTTCTGCTAGAAGCTTCTAGAAGTTCCTCCCCTCCAACCTGTAGAGTTGGCACCTGCATTGATTGAGAGCCTCTGTTGTAGGGAACGCTGATGACTTACATTTTTGTGTTCTGTCTAAGTCAAGGACTTTTGAGTTTCAGTGGGTGCCCACACTTTTAGAAGATAAGTGACCATGGAGCCTAGAGCTGCTCTGCCTTCCCTCTTTGTGTGGGTGCGTGCATGTGTGCATGTGTGTGCATGTGTGTGTGCGTGTGTGTGTGTGTGTGTGTGTGTGTGCGCGCAAAATGGGGAATTTAAATTTGAAACTGAACTAGGAATTATTTGCATATAACCACTGTTTACCTTGAGAAAAGTAAAGGAATTTAGTCAACCTAAATTTTAACCAGACTTAAATATTTAAACTCACTTGTTTGACTTGCATTCAGAAAGCAAAGTGAAGTTAAGTGTGATTGTCTGATCTGTTTCTATTTGTTTAACCCATAAGATTCTCATTTGAATTCCTAACAAAAAGATATTTTCAGCATCCAAATCGCTTCCATCACATTCTCATCCATCTACATGGCTGAGCATTTTAGCTTCCTCGCACAAAGGGACACATGTTGGCTATGCCTCTTTTCATATCATTTTGATATATAATATGTAGAAAGTGTTCCATTATAGAAAAGGTCTGAAAACCATCACAGGATACATCTCCATGAGAAAGGAGCAGAAAGCAAACCTCTCTATAAAATCCTGTGAAGGTGATATTCCTAGGACAGACTGCAGGCAGCCTCAAACCCTCGAGTAGAGACAAAGAACAGCTCCACACAAATTCCCAGGCAAAATCTTTTCCAAGGACTGTGAAAGTTTGAAGGGAGAAATAATATAATCAGCACAGCATAGTGGTTTGCCTGTGGTACACAGCCAACAAATCCTTAATGATCGGTTGTACGAGCTAACGTTGTGAATGTCTCCACTATTATTCTTCTGTTGAATATCCCACAGTATTTTCCTAAGATTTCTGGGTTTAAGGGTTAGCTGGGAACTTGAACCACTGAGAAACAAAACATACTCGATTCTAAGGAGCAGATGGAACCTGGCCCACGGAGCAGAGTACACGTGTCTTCTGAGGCAAGTAGAGTTGGGGAGACGTTCATAAATAGTAACAGGATGCAGCATCTCTGAAGAAGGGTACTGAGACATTGCTTCTCCTTTTAGCCTCTCTTGTGACTTCTCTCCTTCAAATCAGACTGCTTGGGAACATACAAAAGACAAGAGATTCCTTTTTTTGTTTTGTTTTGCTTTGCTTTGCTTTGGTTTTGGTTTTAATCTCATAAACCTTGTTTTTAAGTAAGGATCACTATGGAGCAGTATTAAATGAACTGCTTTGTTTTGGTTTTGGGCTTTTGAAACAAGGTCTTGCTATGCAGCCCAGGCTGGCTTCAAACTCATAACCTTCCTTCTCAGCCTCTGTCCTAAGATTATATGGGTGTCACCATATCAACTGGCAGGTGGTCTTTGAATGCTGTTTGTTTCACCTTCATTTGAAGGACAGTTAATAGGGTGGCAAGGACAATGAATCCCTTATAGAAGATAAGAGGGACCAAGATGATAGTCTTCCGTTTCGTTGTGGTATTCTAGATAGTCTGTAAGTGGTACCCCACCCATCCTGGTGGGGGTTCTTTCCTACCCTGAGTAGATGTGTCTAGGAAAAGCACCCAGGAGCATGCTTGGTTTGCTCTGTGTGTCGGGGGAGGCCATTCCGTACAAGGGTTCTCCTCGTGCGGAAGACCACCTCGATACTTGTACATGACCTTTTCCCACAAGCACTCACAGGATGACAGTGTGTGTTGTCACCTCATATTCTGTCTGAAAATCTTTCTAGTTTGTTTTGCCTTCAATTTGTCCCTGGCTGTCCCGTTCACCTGTGTAAGAGGCCAGTGTTCTCAGGGGAGCCAAGCACACTGCTTCTCTAGTCAGGTTCTGCTGGTTTCTGACTACATCCATTGTCTCATGAGCATATGCTAAGGAAACCACATTTATCTGGAAATTGAATAAATTATTGAAAATAAACAATCCATCAAATTGGAGGCTGCCCTGAAAATCTAGGATGTGAGTGGAATTGACATGTCTTGTTTTTGCAAGGCCTCATTCATCCTTCCCATGGCATACCCACTGGGGATTCCTTTGCCTAGAAAAGGTGCCATAAGCAGAACAAACAGATCCCAAGTACATTTTAATAGCCTTAGTCTAAATAGGGTACCTGTCACTGTGCGTGTACTATACATCCATTGTAGATCTGAATCCCTAATCTTTTATGTAGTTCTCTCTCTCTCTCTCTCTCTCTCTCTCTCTCTCTCTCTCTCTCTCTCTCTCTCACACACACACACACACACACACACACACACACTGTATGTGATACAGTGTCATATACACTAACTCCAGGGAGGTTTGAATGTTGGGGCCTTGCTAACCCTAGTCCTTAAATGGATGCAGTTGATACTTTTGAAGAATCAAAATCAGAAGCAAACCAACCAAGCAGACATTCATTCTTTCCTTTCTCATCCTTCCCCTTTGAGAAGCAAGAGGAATCATTATCCAGCTATTGATGAAAATTCAGCAAAGCCAATCCAGTCGGTGAACAGGATGGTTGCTTTGAAGGTGGAGCTTAACCGTAGGTTTATGAGGGCAGCCTCTCCATAGGCAGCATGCTAGAGAATATGGAAAGCCATCATGAGCTAGGCACACAGAACCTCAGTAAAGTCCTGAGGTGATTTTAGGACCACAGGGGCACTACCAGATTCTGTTTTTAACTTCCTGTTGAGTATAGAAAAAAGCCTATGGGGCCTCATTGCTTATAGAAGTGTTCATGCTCCATCAAAGACAAATAGCCATTTCTCCCCTCTCTAGTAGCTTGGACCTTCCCAGAGTGAAAGGATATCAAAATGTCCCTGGATGAAAACTAAGAAAGCAGAGAAGGGGTGGGAAGGATTCAGTTTGTGGAGCCATTCCTGCTGGGGGATGACGGGGATCTCAATGTTCAGCTGATTGGATCTCGGGTAATTTCCAACTATGGCTGGAAAATCATGCCACATGCAGGTGCGTTTAGTCAGAGGCCCTTCTAGCGCTGATCGATTGGGAAACTTATCTGTGGGGTCCCCAGAAGGAAACCCAACCCTGCCTTGCTTTTACAAACAATCTCCCCTTTGTCCTCCAAAGCAAAAGTTTACTGTAACTTTTTACTTTTGTCAGGATCCAGGCTCTTGCCTAAGCACTATTTCCCTCATGCAACAGAGCAATAAATTCAAATAGGTGTTCACATGCCTCTGACTCTGAGAGACAAGTCTGAGCAGCTCTGGCCTTTGATGACTTAAACTGCAGCAGTTACACCCCAGGGCCGCTCTCCCAGCTCCTGCTCGCTGTCCTCTGCCTTGCACTTTTGCTCTGCTTGATTTCCAGCTGAACTCATTGTAGGCCAAGAAGGAGGACCGGATGGGATTTTTGGGTATGGTTATACTTACAGGACTCCAGGGTCAAGGGTCACAGGAAGATGAAGTTAAATTGTCTGAAGTGAGGGTTTCCTAAATCAAGTTGTCACTGAAGATTCATGGTCTTGGCACCTATAGTAATTTCTGGCGAAACTGACCCAAAAGAAGGGTCACTGCATGCCAACCAAGCCGGGAGGCAAAGGTGACAGCTATTTTTCCATGGGTGGAGTGAGATAAAAACCTGCTCAAAAACACCGGCCGGTTTAGGATTTTCCCTAAAACTCTCTTTCCAGTTCATTGCTCTCTTCCTTCCCTTTCCTTCCGTCTCATTGCTCAACAGTCAGATAGTAAATGGCCATATGGTTATGTGGGGGTTGGTTCAGGAGGAGATAGCAGATCTTAATTGAGTAATATCCAGTCTCACTGCCTAAACCATAATTAGGCAACGACACAGGGATGCTTAAAAACAACATGCTTTGGGAGAGGAAACATTTGATTTAGACACTGCTCATTTGTAGCTGTATGGCTTACAGAAGCCACTGTCCGCCCATTCTTCTTTGGCTTCTGTATGAGAAGAGCAGGGACTGGACCAAATGACCGAAGTCCCTTTCTATATCTGCACATGCCGTTTTCTAATCTCTGCTTTACTTCCTTCCATCGTCAAAGGCTTCCCGCTCTAAAACCTGGCTTATTTATATTTTAAGTTGTAAAGACACACAATAATGAATGATCAGTTTAGATGTTTTTTTTTCCTCATCCCCTTTGGGAAAACTCTAACTCAAGCCTTTATTCATTCCACGCTTCACAACAAGCTTGGAGAGTGGCCATTTTAACCCACAGTTTACTGCTGTCTTGAGATACCAATAAACATCCCTTTGTAAAGATTCCTTTAACCTACACTCACTGTCCTCACAGGAGCAGCGATTCTGCCCTGGGAAATGTTCTGCAGAGTCACCGTCAGGGACCAGGCACCTCACAGCTGCACTTGAGGTCTTGCATCATACCTGCTATGGCAACAGAGCCCACTCCAAATACTCAGCCCACATCATTTTCCCCAAACAGTCCTAATTGCCAATCCTGGATGGGAATTTGGGAGGCTCTGGCAAACAAGCTCGAACACTCCTGACATTTGGTGCAAGATTTACACAACCACAGCAATCGTCTCCACATACCTTTTCCTCCACGTGCGTGCAGACATGTATATCCCTTCCTGAGCCGGGGAGATGAGCCTTTCCTCTGGGAAGGTGTGCAGGCGGATTCGATGCATTTCATTCCAAACCTTTCCTCTTGGTGTGCTTGCATAACAGACATAACATTGTAGGGAGAGATGCTGCCACTTACAAGAAAGGAGTTTTCCCATTTGCTGGTGCCCTTTTTGTGCTCACAGAGTCTCCAAGTCGTTGGAAAGTTGCTGGGTGGCTTATCCTCTCTGCTTCGGTTGTAGTAGGCCAGAGTTGGCATGTTTGCCCTCTGACCAAATTTCTGCCAGAGTGGAGTTGACATATCATAGTGTGGTGAACGTCTTCATTGCCAGAAAAGGATCCCAGCTCTTCAAGTTTAGGAGAGCAAGATGGAAAACCAGGTCTAAGAGGGTTAATTTTTGTTGGTGGTAGTGATGGTGCCCCCCCACCCCCCCGAGCCCCCCGCAAGGCGGCAGAAGGTCTAGAGCAAGAGCAGAAAGACTGTTTCTTCATTGACTCACGTAAGGTCACTCTTGAAAAGTGAGAGGTGAGGTTCCTGGGGATAAGCTTTATGCTACCACCCGGAATCATTTCCCATCAGCATTTTTTTTTTTTACACCAGTCTCCCAATCTTGTTTTATCTTTCATCCTGTGATCCAGTTACCCATTCTGGTATTTTTGGAAGTCTTTCTGGTTGTATTTTGAGGAGCTTTTGTGCTGAGAATAAAATCTACTGTTGGGACAGACTTGTACTCTGCAGAGTCAGCACATGACCTAGACAATGGGTAGCAGCATATCTGGGCTCCTCTGGTGACGCCCCCAAACCCCGGATGAGCTTTGGAACCTAACTACTGACTGTTGCTATCCTTGTCATCATCCTCTGGGACACAGGGATGATGCAGTCAGAGCCTTGTTTCTTCTGGTCTCTGTTTCTCCTCATGGCAACCATTTACCCTGCCTGGAAATGGCCTGCTGCCTTTGGTAGGGAACAGATACACTCAGGAGCCAAGGAAGTTGATCAAACATATCCTGAAGATTTCTGGAGCAAATTCCCTAGTACACACAATCTGAAACTTGGCTCCCTGGTGGCTTACTGCTCCATATTTCACTTCCTGTCTAAAAGCCTTTGGCACCCAGATTCTTCTACAGCTCACCTCAACCCTTTCCTCTCCCTCCCTCCCCCTCCCTCCCTCCCTTCCTTCCTTCCTTTCTTCTTTCCTTCCTCTGTGAGAGCTCAGCATCCCATCTCCACACCACACAACACAGACCAGATCATCTGGTCACTACAGAGATTTGTATATATATATTAAAACAAACCTACTTTTTGGAGAACCTTTGTATATTCTTTTCTATTTGTTTTCTACCACTTGAGGAGAGAGCTGGCAAACTGTGAATCTAATTTTATCTTGATGCCAGCAGATATATTTTAGATCCTAGGAAGAATTTGTGTTACTGGGGACAACATATCGCTCTCTGATCAGTATTGCACCCTAAATCTACAAAGTTACTTTGGCCCAATCTTACATTCTTTCTTACACAAATCTCCAAAGTCCTTTGCTATTATTTATAAAGAGAAATATTTATAGTCCTGAATATTAATTACAAGTTTAACCTTAATTTAGTCTTTAATAATGTTGTGCATATTTGTATCTATTCATCAAAAATCATAAAGACTCAGAGTAGGCTGAAATAATCTATTTAGTATCTGTAATTTTTCAGACAGATATTTTCTTATGATATTTTCTATACAACCACATAGATAGAAGTCTAACTAATTAGAGCACAAGTTTCTATAGCAATTTAGGGGTATCGGCTGTTTCCTGAGCATACAGCCGCATCTGAGAACTTTAGGAACTCAGTTCTTAATGACGCCATGAGTAACCGGACCAAACTAGGACCATGGAATTGCTTAACCCCCTTAGGTCGTTAGGATATGCACCTGGACAGTTAATCCTCCCATGTCAAGCGAAGGTGCTGACTTCTTTCCTTCCAGCACCAGACCTTGTTTCTCCAACCAACCACTCTAATTTTACTTTCTCCTAAGATGAATAAAGGCCGGTGCTAAAAGTGGGATCATTTCTATGCCAGAATCTGCCATGCATTCCTAAATGTTTTTGTGAAGATTGGCCTAGGAAAATGTTGAGTAGGAAAGACTGGGGAGGAGTAGTAAGACAAGAATTTGGGACAGGGTTGGTGCCGTTTTGAATCTTGCCAAGAAAATGAGAGCAAAACCTCACATTGTTATATGAATTGAACATATATTTTTAAAGGAAATTAAAGACAACATATTTTTAGTACCCGCTCAGAATCTGTGCTGTGTCACTGGGGGCCTGGAGGTGGGAGTCAGAGTCACACTGAGATTATTTAAAGTAAACCCAAATAGATTATCCTCAGGTAGACGTCAAGCTATGTAACCTTCCCATCAGGTACACCAGTAGCCACGGAAAACACGAGGTGTCTTTCCTCCGCCAAACGCACTCTCTGAGATGGCGGCAGGACTAGTATTTTACCGTGTGTGAAAGGGTAGTCCATTCCATAGAACACATACTAGGATGCATTTGAACCTGCTCCTTATTAAGTGAACAGATTAGACGTGCCCTCAACTGGCTAAGATTGTATCTGTTTTTAAGTACAGCTAGCAGTCAGAGCATGACATTCTTGTGTGTACACACTGACACTTGGTTCATGCATGAAGACAGTGCCTATGCACTTTGTGTAGCGATAACGTAGGTATTTGTGTGTAATTTCAGTGAAATGGTGTATAGATGTAATTTAATTTAAATATTGTTCTTGGCTGTTTATCTAAATGCAATAGATACATTGATTGCCATTTGGAAACCCCACCCCACACCTTTTTTTTTTTTTTCTGTCTTAGGTATCTCTAGGGGTTATTTCTCTTTCTTAATGTGATCTGAGTGAAGAACTTACTGATGATTGTTTGCAAATCTATGTATCCAGCACCTTTGTAAATACATCTCCAAACAGGGATGGGGTTGAATGTGTATCTTGCCACACAGTGAAAGGTCATCCATCCTATACCCGCATCCTTTCCACTCAGTGCACCTGTGGAACTTGAGGTTGTCAAGGCTGAGGGAGGTTTAGAGTGAGGCATTCATCTCTGGTCCTCCCTCACCAGTGGCCTGGCCTTAAAGAGACAAAAGAAGGGGGGCTCCATCTGCCTCGTGGCATGTTTGAGTCACGTCTTTAGGATAGGGTCAACCTCTCTGGTTGTCAGATCTTCATCAGGACAAGATGCTCACGACCTAAGATTCTGAAGAGCCTCATTCCCCTTGACTTCTTGAGTCAGAATACAGGAATGCACTCACTGATTGGCTGTCAGGCAGATGATTACCCCTCCCCCCCCAAAAGCACAGTTCTGGCAGCATTACACGTTTGTCAGAAAACAACAGAATACTAGAAGCACAGCAAGGTCAGGGGCCAGCCTTGACAACAGCAGAGGACCAACCTCTGATGCACTGATCCCAAGTATGTGACAAGAGTCTGATCTCCTCTACCCAGTATGCTCTGTTTGCATGTGTGAAGTGGGGGAAAAACGAGATTAACAAGGACAATTCCATGCTGATGCCCAAACCACACTCCTCCTCATTCTCACTAAGTACCATGCTGTGAGGTCTGTAGTCCCTGTGACCCCTTTCCTCTCCACAAAGATAGAAGGAACAGCAGCATGTTGGAGAGTGCCCCTCCCCTTCTCAAAGATCATGAAGATGTGAAGCACATTCATTTCCAGGGACTTCTCCAGATGTGTGGAGTGAGGGGATGTGGTGACTGGGTCCTTCAACTTCTGCATGAAAAATGTACTACTAAAAGGAAAGTAGACTTGAGGCAGGATTATCTTCGAATGAAAGTTAAGATTAATGGTTTCCCTCAAGTTCACAGTCCCCATTGGTCTGATGTCATGTAGCATAGTGTATCTATAATAGCACATGGTATTTAAAGACTAATGAATGCAAAAAGATGAGAAACTCAACTAATTTGGGGATTGTTTCTTCTATATGGTACTAGGAAATACCTTGTTAGCAAAGCACATCTTGGGTAGTTGAGGTCTTCCGTGTTTGTCTTCAGCTTTTTTTGTGATATGGACTGATGACTGTAACATTTCATATGTAAAATAACTGGATATTCTTCATTTGCTGGAAATAACCTGTGAATCCAATCTTTCACTAAGTGTTTTAACTTCCTTGTATATATATCTCTCATCAATAAATGTGAATTCCAATTTCTCTTGGTGGTTGCCTATTCTTGACTTCTCAATTTATTAATTACAGAGTGTTAGTTACATCTTTAGTGATCTTTGTGGTAGGAAGATCACCAAATTAGGGACTGAAGTCTATAGTATTACAAAGACACAGTTTTTGGGAGACCTCAGTATCCAATAGTCATGTCTAATGAAGCAGAGCTAGTGGAGTGGGATGTTGGGATGTGGCATTGGTGAACCAACCATGACAGGTTAGCCTCTGACCTCAGAGGCTTCTCAAACCCCTTATTGGGGCAGCATATCAATCCCTATTTAGCTAGAATCACTGCTCCTCCCTGTCCTTGTCCAGGGAGTGTCTTAGTCCTCATTGGGGTCTTCTCTGGAACATCTGACATAAATACATGAATGAGGAAATGACATTTGTTTGGGGTCATTTTCTGGGAGGTTGAAATGTCTGAGTTCAGGTGGCTGTGGTCAGTAAGGGCCTCATAATGTCATAGTGTGCAGTTGACATCACATAGAAGAAAGGAAAGCACGAGTGGCCAGTGGAGTGTGCAGAAGAGGACAAACACAAGGAATACAACACAGCTTGTGCAATAACAACCTGTCCGCAAGGTAACCAGTCAAGTCATGTGGTACCTAACCTGATCCCTACTAGCAGACAGTGATCTCTGAGCATGATATCCCAAATGACCTAATCATTTCTCAATGCCTCCTACCTCTTAAAGGTCCCGAGACCTCTCAACATTTTCACACTTAGGACCAAGCTTCCAGCACATTAACCTTGGGTAGAAAAGATCTACATACAAACCACAGCAGGAAGTATGAGGGAGATCATCTCCATGTTTACCAACACAGGCAAAAAGAAAGACAACAGAGCCCACACCCACCCTCGGTGTTTCCCCCTGAATGCTAGCTACCTCAGTTCTGCTCATGGTTCAATGGCCGGAGCAAGTGGCACAGCTCTGCCCAACTTCAAGGGGGCAAGAAAGTGCAACTTCATCAAGTGCGTGGCAAGAAACTAGAAGCAAAATTTTTCCTTGAATTCCCTAAACAGTCCATAAAAGACATAGTCAAACAGTTTCTTAGTATTCCAACACAGCAATCTTTTTTAGTCTTGTAGGAACAGTTATCTCCAAGGAATTACATGGTGAACATTATAAGGTCATGTTAGAGAAATAAACCCAAGGTCTTCAATGGAAGGATTGCTAAGGACATGTTGAGTTGTTTATGCAGTGGAAGTCCACCCGGACAGTGACAGGCTCACGGTTCACACCACAGGGCACCCGCTGATGGTATCAATTTGTTCTCCTCCATTCTTGGGAGAGGGAAGAGGCTCATAGCTGATATTGAAAAATCAAAATTCATAGATGTGACACAGCATAATTCTTGTCACTAATGACGACAATTTGCTTAAATTGTTGGTGAGAATGAACACTTCATGTGATGTTTACTTCCCTTGGCACTAAGTCTGTTCCACATGCATCATGTCACAAAAAAAAAAAAAAAAAAAAAAAAAAAAAAAAAAAAAAAAACCTCAGTTCCAGAAAACAAGGCGAACAGTACATTCCTGGGCTGTCATTTTTCTTTAGGATGGCAAACAGCCAAAACCAGAGTCAAAGTGAATATTTCAACATTTAGAGTAGATACAAATCAGCCAAGGTCAGCCAGTCCTTCCAAGGATGACAGAGTGGGAGAAACTTGAGTGGGACCAAGATCCCATCACTCTTGGGTCATAGGTGGGAATCCATCCATTTGTGTGGGCCCAGGGTTGCTTTGTCACGGATGAAGACGCAAGGAAAAAAGAACAACTCATTTGGGGTGAGTATGAAAGGAGCAATTGTAGTCGGGGAGTCAGGACACTGAAGACTTCTGCAAGCATGGCTGTTAGGTGCTGTTCCTGGAGGAAATGCCTGAGAGAAATCCACCCACAAGGAGAAAAGATTTCTTTGGCCAGTTTTGGAGGCCAAGGTCAGTTGATGTTGTTGCTTTGGGGCCTGAGGCAGTATAGCACAAGATGGTAGGAAGCACTGGATGAGGCCAGAAGCTTCACACCTTATGACCAGATTGAGAGTGAGAAAAAAGAGGCAGGCTCCCACCCAACACTCACCTTCAAGGGCATACCCTAGAGGGTGAAAGGCTCTTGGCAGACACACACTTCAGAGTTTCCACGGGTTCCTATTGTCCCAAGCCTTGAATACACAGACCTTTAGGAGGACATTCCAAATCCAAATTTCAATAGTAGCCAAGTCTTTAGGACATTTGAAATAATGGGCTTAGTTTAGAAAACCTCTAAGCTTTTAACAATGAAGTTTAATGCTTTCATCTAGGTAAGCTAACTACATACATATATGTATATATATATACATATATATGTGTATAATGTATGTGCATATACATCATATGTGTATATGTTATGTGTGCATATATACTATACATATATTTGTATAACTTATTATTACAGGATAAATGTCACCTAAATCTGAGTCATAATGCTACTTAGGATGCAAGCCTACATGACTGTCTTTTACCCCGTATCCTCGCTGGCCCATTCAGCTGCTTACTTTCATGTTGATTATTCTTTGGCTTCTTCAAAAATAGTTTGGGGCTAGGGAGATGGTTCAGTAGGTAAAATACTTGCTTACAAGCTTGAGGACCTGAGCTTGGATCCCTAGCACCTACATAAAGAGCCAGGCATCCTGGTATATACCTGGAATGCCAGTATGGGGGAAATTGAGAGAGGAAGATGCCTGGAGTTCATGTGCAAGGCAGTCTAATTGAATTAGTGAACTCCAGGGAGAGACTCTGCCTCAAAAAATAAGGCAGAGAACCATAAAAAAAAATACCAGTCATACTTGATATTGACCTCTAGCCATGTACACATGAGAGAGAGAGAGAGAGAGAGAGAGAGAGAGAGAGAGAGAGAGAGAGAGAGAAATGACTAGAGTTCCCTGATTCACCCACAATATCTTTTAAAAGCACACCCTTGTGACCAAACGAAACACCTAAACTAGCTTTGGGTCCTTATAAAAGGAATAAAGGAATCCAGGTCACATGTAATCTTCTTAGCATGCTTTTTCTCTCTGCTTAGTGTTGTGCCCAGATCGTAACCCCCAGAGAGACCACCAAGGACGAGCATACCAGAATGCAAAAGCAAGGTTTATCTGTTACAAGTCATGACAGGGAACTCAACTCAAGCCATCTCAAGTGAGGCAGAGAAGAGTTATTCTTTCTTCGGGAAGTTAGTTTTTATAGGCAAAACCCATAAAATTTCTTAGAGGGGAGGGGGTTAGTACGGGTCCATCCTTGATTGGTCCAATTTTTCCCGGGCCTGGACTTTATCTTATTCTAGCTTATCTGTTTGCCCTGTCAGGAGTTTTACAACTCCTCTCTGGGGTCTGGTCATGTTATCTCTGGAGAGGG